AATTTAAAAATGGGCAAAAGACCTGAACAGATATCTTAGACATACAGATAGCATATAATTATATGAAAAGATGCTCAACATCATATATCATCATAACTGCAAATTAAAATGAGATACCACTACAACCCAACAAAATGGCCAAAAACCGGAACACTGACAACACCAAATGCTGATGAAGACGTGGAGCAATGGGAATTCTTCATTCCTTGCTGGTGGGAATGCAAAACAGTACAGGCACTGTGGAAAATGGTATGATGTTTCCTCAAAAAGTTAAACGTAGAATTACTAAATAACCCAATTATTTTGCTTCTAGGTGTATATCCAAAAGAACTGAAAACAGATATTTAAACAGATACTTGTACAACAATGGTCATTGTAGCATTATTCATAATAAAAGGTGGAAACAACTCAAGTGTCCACTGAAAGATGAATAATTAAACAAAATGTGGTCTATCCATGCAATATATTTGGGTCATTAAATATGAAATGTCTGATTACAGATGAAAAGTGTAGTTTATTATATCTCAAACAAGAAACAGTACAATTAATCAAAGTATGCACCTAAACTATCAACACAGTTTTGCCATCTTGACAATAGCTTGTTGATGCCAGCAGCAAAGAATCCTGGAGAGTGAGTGGTGATGAAATGGGAAAAGACGTTTTCTGCAGCTTATTGAGAACTGAATATTTTTCCTTGCAAGAAATGGTCTAAAGCGTGGAAGAAGCGGTCGTCAGTTGGTGCAAAGTCTGGTGAATACGGTGGATGATAGAGTTTCTAACTCCAGCTTTTTTACTTTGAGCAGTGACACATGGTCAAGTGTTGTCTTGCATGAGGATTGGCCTGTCTCTATTGACCAATCTCTGCTGCTTAATCACAGGCATCCTCATCATTTCATCCAACTGGTTGCAGTAGACATCTGCTGTAAATCAACTGACCAGGTTTCATGAAGCTGTAATGGATAATACCAGCACTGGACCACCAAACAGACACCATTAGCTTTTTTTTTCATTATTAATTTCAGGATATTATAGGGGTACAAACATTTTGGTTACAAGTAATGACTTTGCTTCACCCAAGCCGGGACTAGAGACGTGCCCTTCCCCCATACAGTGCGCACCACATCCGTTAGTTGTGAGTTTACCCATCCCCACCCCTCCACCTGACCGACACCCAATGAATATTACTACCATGTGAGCACATTAGTGTTGATCGGTTAGTACCAATTTGATGGCAAGTACACGTGGTGTTTATTTTTCCATTCTTGTGATATCTCACTTCGAAGGATGGGCTCAAGCTCTATCCAGGATAATATAAGAGGTGCTAGACCACCATTGTTTTTTGTAATTAAGTAGTATTCCATAGTATACATATACCGCATTTTATTCATCTAATCATGTATTGAAGGGCACTTGTTTCCACATCTTTGCAATTGTGAATTGTGCTGCCAGCCATAAACACTGGAGTGCAGATGTCTTTATTATAGAATGTCTTTTTTTACTTTGAGTAGATGCCTACCAGTGGGATTGCTGGATCAAATGGCATTTCTATTTTTAGCTCTTTGAGGTATCTCCAAATTATTTTCCACAGGGATTGTACTAATTTGCAGTCCTACCAACAGTGTAAGAATGTTCCTATTCAGTGCGGGACAGACAGTGCTAGGAAAACAAGGCATTAGCTTTTATTGATGAATATGCTGTTTTGAACTGTTTCGGCACTTCATTCTTATCCAACCATTGTACCGAACGCTTGTGATTGTCAAAAAGAATCCATTTTTCATCACATGTAACAATACAGTGTAGAAATGGCTCATCTTTATGTTGTGACAGCAAAGAAAGGCAAGCTTTGAGATGATTTCTCTTCTGATGCTCATTTAATTTATGCGGTATCCATCTATCCAGCTTCTTTACCTTGCCCATTTGTTTCTAATGGTCCAATATTGTTGGAACAGTCACATCAAACCTTGTTGCTAATTCACAAGTAGGTTGAGGTAGATTTGTTTCCACTATAGCTTTCAGCTTATCACTATCAACCTTGGTCTCAGGTTGCCCATGTGGCTCATTTTCAAGATTAAAATCACCAGAATGGAACTTCTCAAACCATGGACATACTATGCATTCATTAGCCACATCCTTCCCAAGTGCTTTGTTGATATTTTGAGCTGCCTGCGCTGCATTGGTTCCATGACAGAACTCAGACTCAAAAATAACACGAATGTTTGACTTATCCATGGTTTCACAAAAATTGCTCTAAAAAAAAAAAATGTGAAAGATAATCACAAGCCAAAACATATATTTGAGAGATTGAGGATGTAGCTTCACAACAAAAATAAAACAAGAGGTGTCAAAGTAAAATGTCAGAGATATCAGCTGTCAAACTTAGTACTTAAGGAAATTGGACATTTCATACTGAATAACCTTTATATTCAGCCTTATAAAAGAATGAGGTTTTGCTCCGTGCTACAATATGGATGAACCTTGAAAACATTATGCTAAGTGAAATAAGCGTGATAAAAAGGACAAATATTATATGATTCCACTTACATGAAATATCTAAAATAGGCAAATTCATACAGAGAAAAAGTAGATTTAGAATGGCAAGGGCTGGGGCTCGCGGGGAACGGTAATTGTTTAATGGATACATAGTCTCTGAGGTGACGAAAATGTTTTAGAAATACAGTGGTGATGGTTGCATATACTGTGAATGTAATCAATGTCATTGCACTGAATATTTAAGAATGCTTAAAATGGGCATATTTTGTGTCACATGTATTTTATCATGACAAAAAATGTTTTTTTTAAAAAAACTTTTTCTAAATACAAGGAAGAATTTCCACGGCAGAAATAAAAGATGAAGCTGGGTCATTAAGGGAGAACAGATTCTTCCTACGTCGGAATTCAAAACAAACCTAAGAGGGAAGCAGTGAGGCGGGAAGCAGCGTCCACCGTCCCCGCCCGGAGCTCAGCCGTGGAAGAGTCCCCATTACCTGGCAGTGACTCAGGTCTGGCCGTATCACCAGAAAGCTGTGGGGCACAAAGATGCATTAACTTGTTACATTCAAACTATGTACCTAGCCGTGTCGAAGGCACAGGAGACATAACTTTGGAAAAGACACTCACGGAGCTCAGTGCATGAAACATGTATTTAACTGAAGATCACCTCTAAAAAAACAATCGTCTTATACATTAATGAGGAAAGTTATTTATAAACCCTCAAAAGGGAGAGAAAGTATGAAATGAGCATTTTCAGATATTAAAAAAGAAAGTTGCTTTTATAACATCCATTTGAGTTTCTTTCTTTTTTTTCCAGTCATGGAAAGCCACGTTTGAAGAAAAGCAGACAGGACACGATGGGCCTGGGCGGACCTGGCCTCCATCCCCACCCCAGGTTTACGAGAGCTTCTCCGTCCTACCTGAGGCCACCTTAGGTTGGTTGCCAACAATTCCAACAGTCCTCCCATTCATTCTTGCAAAACCAACAACAATGTTCTTGGCATAATTGGGCATGATCTCAAAAAATTCACGCTCGTCAACAACCTGCAGGACAAATTTACTGCTAAGCTCAAAATGATAAAGACAAAAGTACAAGGTACAACTACATTACAGAATTACACTGACGTTACCGCATCACAGAGCCGAATGGCTCCCACCTCTCCCGCAGGTTCTCCAAGGAAGCAGGACAGCAGGCAGAGGCCACCTCCTCCCTCTGGAACACAGTGGTGGGGAATCCCTCTCACACACCACTGGGGGTAAACCAAAGCCGCTTGTTTGAAAGGCTCTGTTTGAATTTGGAATGATTTATGACAATTTTCTTTTCACTTTGAAGTCATTTCAAACACACTAAAATTTCAAAAACAGTACAAAAATCATTCGTATACCCTCCACCCAGATTCCTCATTTATTAACATTCTACCACACAAGCTTTAACACTTACTCTTTTACACATATACACGCACACTTTTTCCTGAACCATTTGAGAGTGAGTTACACACATGATGTCTCTTTCCCTGTGAGTCCCTCATTGTCTGTTTCCTAAGAAGCAGGAGCCGGCGGTGGTGGACTCCGTAGCCTCCTCCCTACCAGGCCGCAGACGGGTGTTGGGTATGGGTCCGAGGGCTGGGGCTTGGGGACGACGGGGCTACACCACCTAGGTTGTGTAAGTGCACTCTGGTGTTCGCACGACAAAATGGCCTAACGACACACTTCTCAGAATGTGCGCCCGTTGTTAAGCAATGCTCGACTGTATGAGAATTCTATGCGGACTTGAGTCTGTTCCTGGCTTTTCCATTCTGTTCCACTGGTGTGTTTGTGTGCCTCTACCACACTGTTCGAACTGTAGGATCCGTTAATATAAGACATGGGTCGTCCCCACTTACCGCTTTTTTTTTTTTTTTGCAGTATTTTCCGAGCTATTCTTTCACTTTTATTTTTCCATGTGAACTTTTCTATAAACTTATCTAATTTTATTTTTAAAAATTGTTTATTGAAATTGCCTTAAATTTGTAAACTAATTTTGGAAGAAATGACATTTTTATGATGTTAACTCAATAACCAGGAGCAAGGAATGTCTCTCCATTCGTTCAAGTCTACTTTTGTGTTTTTTAGAAGTGTTTTAAATTTGCCCTATATAGCTTTTGTACATTTCCTGTTAAGAGTTATCACTATTTTTCTATCTCCAGGATTCCTGGGGAAATAAATAAGAAAAAAAAAATTATCACTATTTTATTTTCTTTGTGACTATGTAAAAGGGGCTTTTACTCTTCCCTAATTGGTTACTGCTTATGTATATGAAGACTACTGACTTCTGTACATTAATTTTATATCCTGTTTCTTAATTATTGTTTTCATATAATAATGCATTCTCCAGGTTTTTCTTTTTTTTTTTTTTTTGAGACAGAGTCTTACTCTGTTGCCCGGGATAGAGTGCCGTGGCGTCAGCCTAGCTCATAACAACCTCAGACTCCTGGGCTCAAACGATCCTCCTGCCTCAGCCTCCCGAGTAGCTGGGACTACAGGCATGCGCCACCATGCCCGGCTAATTTTTCTCTATATTTTTATTTGTCCAGATAATTTCTATTTTTTTTTTTTTAGTAGAGATGGGGTCTCGCTCTTGCTCAGGCTGGTCTCGAACTCCTGAGCTCAAGTGATCCTCCCACCTCGGCCTCCCAGAGTGTTAGGATTACAGGCGTGAGCCACTGAACCCGGCCTCTAGTAAGCAATATTAAACTGAAATCTTAAGTACTATCTTTATTAGGTTCTGATATTAATGTCATAGCTGCTTTATAAAAAGAATTTGGAAGGTTCTTGTGTGTATTTTGTTTCTTTACTTTCTATGCTTCAGAAGAATTTATGTAGCATTAGGACTATTTGGTCTTTGAAGGTCTCAGAATTCCCACATGAAACTATCTGGACATGGCCCTTTTTTGTGAAGTAACTCCTTCCACGGAATCTGGTCCATGTAAGCTTTCCACCTCTACTGAGGTCAATTTCTGTTAAGCTGTGTTTTCCAAACAAGTTGTCCAGTTCATCTAGCCCATTGACCTTTAAGTTTCTCCTTTTTCAATGGTTAGCCCCCCCTTTTCACTTCATACTTCTGTTTGTGCTTTTGTATAGTGTTTATTAATTACAGCAACTATTTTTCTATTTCCATCATAAATTTATGCATTTATCCTCATTAAATTATTCCTTGTGGCTTATTTTGAAATGTTTTGTGGGTTTTCTTTTTCCCCACTGGCTTTTTGAGCTGGGAATTTATTGTCCTCCTTTTTTACTGTTTCAGGATATAAATTTTCCTCTGCTCATTGTTTTAAATGTATTCTATCAATTTTGATATGCAGTGTTTTCACCATCTTTTCTTTTAGAAAAAGTTTAATCAACTTTTCTAAAAGGTCCATGTGTACTTGAGAATAAGATTTACTGCCTATTACCAGGGTAGTCTCAAATAAATCTATAAGATCTATTACATTATTACGTTATCTCCTCTATTTGTTTTTGTCTACTTGACCTGCTTTGTACTAACAATGGTGTGTTTAAATCTCCCATTATTAAGTGCTCTACCCATCTCTCTTTGGACCTCATACAGTTTGTTTTTAAAGATAGTAGCTGTATTAGTTGTGGCATAGATATTTTATAGCCTTTACATCATCATTGTGAACTGTGGCTTTTCGCATTTGAAAACATCCTTCTTCGTCATGGTTAATAATTGAATTTTACTTTGTTCAATATTAGGATCACAAACACTACTATGTTATTGTTTCTGTTCTCCTGATACACATTTGCCTATCACTTATTTTTAGCCTTTCTGAGTCACTTTAAGTGTCTCTTGTATACTGAATATGGCCGGTCTTGATTTGCGAGCCAAACTGGTCATCTTTTTCTTTTAATAAATGAAATTAGCCCATTCACATTTATTGGCATAACATTTATTTTTTACTCTTTTTTTATAATGACTGTATCATGTTATATTTGTTCTTTCTTTATGTAATATGTTTAATATTATATAGGAAGGTTTGGGTTTTTTTTTTGGTCTAGTGGTTACCTGTGTAATTATACCTTTTTAATGCCTTTAGTCTGTTTCCTTATTCTTTTATTAACTTGTCTGTTTATTCTTAAATATCTGTTGACTCTCAAAAAAAAAAAATCAGTGAACTGATTCTGCTATATTCTTTCCCTCTTCCTTCTCCTCCCATTTTTCAGTTGCATTTTTTCTGCAACATACAACATTTATATGTTGTTTTTCACCCTCATCCTCGCCTCTGTTTTAGTCTTAGAATTAAGCATATTAAATAATCACTTTCGATCCTTTTGTTGAAATTTCTCCAGTCATCTCTTGGCTAAAACTCATTCTCTAGTTTGGTTCTTGGGCATTTAAAACTGGTTCTCTGTAGTCTTAATACATGAAGGTCAGCTTGGCTAAACATAAAATCCTTACTCACATACTCTTTGCCTGAGACTCCTGAAAGTGCTTTTCCATTGTTCTCTTGCTTTCTTATGTTGTTTTTGAGAAGTCTGATACCACTCTATTCTCTTGCCCTTGTTAAGTTATTTGAACTTTTTGCCTGAAGGTCTTGAGGATTTCTCTTTATTTTAAAATCTAACAGTTACTGGATATTTTCTCAAGTTTGATCACTCTGGGTCAGTTTTTCCAGGTGTTCAGTGTGCTTTTTCATTATGTCGATCTGAGTCTTATTTCTGGAATATTTTCTTGGATTACAGTTTTAAATAATAATTCTGTTCCACTGATTTTTCTTCTTCAGACACTCCAATTATATGTATGTTTGGTCTTCTTTGCCTCTTTCGTGGTACTTACCTTTTTCTGACACTTTTTTAACTAATAATTTTCATGAGATGTATTGGCATTATTAAAAATTTTTTTGGAAAAGGAGGGAAGGAGAAAAATTTTAATTGACAAATTAAAATTGCAAATATTCATATGTATACATATACAATTCATATATGTATACACTGT